TCTGATTCTTTGATATGCCAAGGGCTTTCGGGAAAAAAAATTCCGATTCACCCCCCTCCCCCTCATGCACAGACACACACCGCTTGCACAATCAGTTAAATCAAAAGTTGTGCTTTTACATGTTAAAAGTTTGGAGAAGAGAACTGGATTATGCAATCCTACCTGCTTTTTAAGTCTATTCACTAAATTGGTGGGACCCTTGCGGGTGAAAGGGAAAATTAATCGAGAACTTGTTTGGTACTTAGCGGTAGATAGAGTATTTATCTTTAAGTTTTTCGCGTAAACTTTAATCGTTTCGCTTTATTTCTATTTAAAAACAGACGGAAGATTTTGTAGGGGCTGTAGGAGTTCCACGATCCTTCCGCCCCAGTGTCCAGTCTCTTGGTCTATCCTTTATGTTTCACTCCATTTTTGGAAACCGAAAGTCCCCTGGGAACTCTGGGAATGCCCATCGATGTGGGTGGTAAAGCGAACTTGCGCCATCCTAAAGACGCGTAATTTGACTGGAGTTAATTTTACTTTTACATATATCTTTGATTATGGGGTGATTTAGAATCTTTACGTGAAGTGTCCGTCATTGTCTGACAAGGCTGTCAGCATGGCAGTGAGCGAAGATTCTTGAGCTGATGCAACTTTTGATTTTTGAGCGGCTTGCGTTGTCCTTGATCTATCTGCTGATCGAAGGTAATTCTGAAAGCTTATGTTTGTTGGTTTCGTGGAAAGGTTCCACATGAGGGGAGATATCTTGCTCAGTAATCGTACATTTATTGGAGTCATTTCGAATGTTTTTGAACGTTTTTGAAATCATTGCTGGTTGGATCGCATGATGTTTGTCAGTGCTGCTCTGATAACTAGACTTCGCCGTGGGCTCTGGTCGTTTTACCAAGCTGTTATGTCGGAAATATCAAAGCGAAAAGTGGGAAGGCTTTTTCTTAATCTAAGCCTCTTGTGGTATTTTGGAAGAACAAGAAGGTTTACGTAGCACAAGAGTAGCTAGGGATGTGGAATTTATAGCTTTGACTGTGAGGTTTGTTCCACTGGAAATTTGCCAGTACACCAGTAGCTATACTCTTGTCTGCCTATTCAAAATTCATGAATCATTTTGACTCTCAAGCAAATGAGTAAGAAAACAACAGATCAATCCAGAATATTTAAAATGACTCAAATTTTCCTTTACTTTTTAATAGTCCTTTGTAATCTTATCACAATGTGGCCTGTGATTGTTTTGAAGGTTTAGAGAGTCACTCGGATATGTCTGGATTAACGATCCTAAACAACCCATATAACGAAATGTGGTAAGTTTTCATGTTTTATTTATGTATTGTTAGTTCCCCGATATGAAAATATGTTGAAGTTTCAGTAAGTTCTTATGGAGTAACCACTTGTTTGCAATAATCAGAAAAGGATATAATTTGATGTCAAACAGAATTCCAAGGGCAACCTTCTTGGTAAACCAGATCACAAATTGTTTGCCAGAGATAAAACTTTACTTGTTAGGAATCAAAGACCCTTTGTAGTGAAGTGCATGACATATTTTCTACTGTTTTAGTTAGAAATTGTCGTTTTGGCTAGCAATATTGTGATTAGAGGATTCATTGACATCTTTTGGGCTCGTTCGTCAAACAACCAAAGAGGAAGAGGAAAATTTATTGTCTAGAAAACAATGGAGCATTGACTCTGTTATTTTATGCAAATGCTATACGTCGCCTTCAAACAGCTAGTTACCTTGAACAGCATATGATACACCTCAAATCAACTGGAACTTGAACCATAAACACCAAGCATTAAGGTTACTTCCCACCTTCAGAGGCTGAAAAAATCGATTTTTCTTTTATTTGTAAAAACTGAAATGTTTACAAGATATTCCTTTGACCCGCAGATAGCAAATGCTAAGTGAGGCATACCCATGAATATATGGGGTGTGGCAGGCTTCCTTGCCTTGCATGCTTGCATGTAATACAAATCTTCTGCAAAACTACCTTCTACCTAATCTACCTTCTTCATTTTTGTCCAATTCTATATCAGTAGCCACCTGCAGTCTCAGACTGCCTGTTTTGTGAATATGTAACCTAAAAGCCTTTTTTTGTGTTAAGTGAAGTGAAGTGAAGTTAATTTAGACACTGTAATTTTTTCTTTTCAGCAGTTGCATTCAATATTAAAGGTTTCCTGTGATGTCTGGGCCATCAAAGGTAAAACTAATGACTCATAAATTTAATTATGAAGCTATGAGAATGAGATTTTTGTACAAATGGAACCCTTTTTCCTGTAAATTTAGGCACAACATTTACACCTTTGTGTGTCACTGTTTATCTCGAAAGTCAGTCCTTGCAGATTCTTGATCAAGGACAAACTATTCATAACTGTCAGGATCTTACAATATTTAATTGTACAGTTATTCATTGAGAAACTCACTTAAAGTATCTAAAGGAACATTTTTCTGTCAACACTTGCTGTAGACATTTATGTCTCAAGCAGGTGTGAGTGGCTTAATTACTTCTTTACTCCTGTAACTTTCTACTTTGTCAGTATATCTCCCCATGGATGTCCTTAACAAAACTTAATCACAAAGTCACAAAGTTATCAATCACTTTGTTCTTCAATTTCAATGAATTTTTAAAATTTAAATGATCAGTTCATCATTGCAAGACAAAGTTCTTGTACCTGAATCTCTCGGAAGCCTCCTCTATCTCTGAGGTCTTTCACA